CAATAATGATAGCAAGAATATTTGCAAAAGTTCTGTCACACACACCTTAAAAGTACAATAACTAATTTACTATTCAACATAACTAAGAGAAATTTGGTACACGCGATCTTTATTCATTTTCTGCCAACATGGGATGAAAAGAATTGGCAAATGTCTTTCCTTATTCAAGGGAGATAATTTTATTCCAAGTGACCCTTGCAAAATCCAAATCAAAGTTTGCTCAGTATGGCGTGTGGCCTCTTCCAGTTTGAATTACTGATACAAAACATCTGTTAATTGACTGAATTGTAGTCCTTATGGTTGTCTGAAGAATCCCCTGCCATTCCTTGTGAAATGCAGCCTTCAGTTCCTGACGAGTTTATACGGAGTGCGGCCTGTTTCTAATCCTCCAGTCAATGTCATCGTACAGATGTTCTGTTGGGTTAAGGCTTGTGGGTCTTGCAGGCCAGTCCAGAACAACGATTTGATGTGTTTGGAAGGAGTTTTTATTGATCGTGGCCTGTTTTGGTCTAGAGTTGTCTTGTTAGCATATTCCATCATCCGTGCCTTGTGGCGTAGTCACCGTGAGGAAGAATTTCGTTACAATACTGTCGTTATTTGAGGTTGCTTTGAAAAGTAACTAAATGTATACGATAAAAAGCAGAGATCCCCCCCCCCTTACCATCACATTTCAGCCTCCTTCGGGCCTATTGGGGGACGTTGGATTTGTGAAATTTCTATTCTCTTCTTTTAAACACTTTTTCTCTTCCATCGATGCAACGAATTAACAACATTAACCATTGCTTTACCAACGTCTTTAGTTTCATCGACAATGTTGTTGTGCCAAAATTCAGCGATTTTTATCTATGAAACAGGGTTAGAATGGCTCCACATAAAGGCTGATAATCACGTAATCCACGATCTTATAAATGTCTAATAATGGTGTTTCAAGACAGTCCGAAGTACCTGGCCGTCTCTGCACTAAGTTGGAACGGGTTTTGAACATGGGTGTTGACAATAACCCAATTCTGATGTTGAGTAGTCGCCCTTGGTTGGCCATGTCTAGGCTTGTCTTGGACAGTTCTAGTGGTGTTAAAACGTTTGTTCAAGCGTTAGATGGTTCCACTGCAAATATGTACGTGCCTTGCAACAGCAGAAAGCGCAATTAAAGAATTTGTCATACACGCAACCCCTTTATTTTCTGAATTTATCGTTCTTTAAATTTTGAAAACATGAGAAATAGGTACCCAACCGCTAAAAAGTACGGAATTTTAGAGAGTGTAAGGTGTGTTTACAAATTGTCAACGTGATTCAAAGCAAATTTTGTGTGTAGGAAGCATTGATTTCCACAGGGACCGAGAGAAATCAATACCAACAATTTGTCCACGTACTACTTCCGGTTTATGATTTCTTTTGTCTGCTCTTACACAAGAAGTCTCATAAGTCACACAAGTTGTACTTTTAATTTTTACTGCAATTCTAACGCTATACCGAAAATTATCGTAATAATTGGGTGTGACAGAACTTGTGCAACTCGGTATAATAATAATATTGTTATAATAATGATTATAAAAACGATAACCATAAGTGTAAGTATAACCATAACCATAAACATAAGCACAAGCATAAGCATAAGCATAAGCATAAGAATAATCATAATCATAATAATCATAATAATCGTAAAACATGTAATAACTGCTCTGATATAGCGTATATCCACACTCCACAGTATGCTCTAAGCGTTTTACATCCATTATTACCCAAAGCAGAACCTAAATAAAAGAAATTTCTCACGTGCATACTTCATCCACAGTGGTGGATTGGACAAAGGAAAGGAACGTTTCCACTGTATCCATGTGATGGTCCAATCTAATAAGCATAGGAAACGCACAGCCCTGCAAGTTTTGTTTACAATTACTCGTGTCGTCTGCAACAGTGAGACCTGCAAGGTGAGAAAAAAGGGCCAGGGTTAAGGGATGAGGGAAGATGGGAAGGAGAAAAGGTTGAGATCTTGAAATGCCGCGCACGGTGTGGTTATGGCTGAGAGAAAGAAATCAATCCTATGGATGACTGCATTTCTTTCCAATAAAACTCCTTTCTTTATTTAAGGACGACTTGCATGCGACATCAGAAGAACAAGTAAATAAGTAATGGTCACTTTAGAATGAATGCAAACTCGTATACTGTTTATATTTTTTCAAAACTCATGCAATTCTACGTATAATAAAAATTGTAAGTCTTAGTGTTTTTATCGTGGAAGGGAGTCGACAGTTTAATTTCAAGGCATTTCACTCTCGATCATCACCAGGCTTATCAAAAGGTAATATTGGAAGAATTGACTAGATAATAAATTGTGAGTGCTTAGCTGACGTTCACCACTGGCTTCACAATCATCACCTTCAGTACCTTAGAGTTATGCCTAAGTAAGTGGCTACCTACTTTAGAATTACTAACTTTTATCTGCTTAGTGCCTAGTTTTGAGAAATTTGACGTCCAGGTCTAAATAAATCAAAGCTGCCAAAAATGTCATAAAGAACTTGATAAATCTGAGGTAACGACGTACAAATGTATCGTTTCTTTTAAAAAAAACAACCCGGAATGATTGCAACGAATAAAACAGATTTTGAAAATCAATGGAAAAAATGATAAGTTGATCGTGCTTAATATTTTGCGACATGTAACCAGAAAAACTGATGTCCTAAAAAAACCTCAGCACTGTTACCTCACACTCTATTTACCTGCCATGAAGACAGCGACAAGAATGGTTTGAAAAGCTTTCATTGTGAAGCAGTAGGTTCTGTAAAAGAATAAATAAAACGAAGTTAGTATTGGAACTAGTGTTGCTACTATTTCTGAAATCTGACTTTCAAAATCAGAGATAAACCTTTTAAAGCAAAGTGAACATTTTATACCAAAGCAATCTTAGCATCACGGCTGAGATGAGACCAAAGTCCTTAAAAACGCCGTACTTATTTAGAAAGACATGAAGAAAAGCTCTAATAAGTTGAGCTATCTTTCTTTTGTATTGCAACTCACAACTTTGATATTAAACAGAAAAATTGATGATAATGATAATCACTTAAACATTATTACATATAATGCGCACTATTCTATAGTAGTATAAGGTGTGAGCGGTTTACATCGATGACACGATAATTAGAGTAAAACCTCAAATACACAATGAAAAAAACAAAAACATTTCATGTGCACACGGAAAACAGTTCAACCACATAAGGATGAATTTTCTTTTTCTTTTTTTCTGTCTTTTCTTTGGTAAGTATTTTAAGGCGCTTGCAACTGCATAAGGTCACATGAGCCCGTGGGACACATTAAACATTTGTGACGCTGCGTTGTGAAATCAGGCGCTCGTCAAAATTATGATATTGAAAAAACTGGCATTTTTTCTGCTAGTTTGACAATGTTTATCGAATTTTTGTTTTGAGGATTAACACTATAATTGTTGTCCAATTAAGACCACATTTCTAGGTGGAGTTTTACTGGAAAACATTGATTAAACGCATTAAAAGTAAGTTTCCACTTTCCATGGACTATCAAGCTATGGACATAACTGTGGCGGCCATTTCCTCACTAAATCTACCTTTCACACCTGGCGACCCCGCCTTCTTCAAAGTAAAATATCTCGACTTCTATTGAAGATAGATGAGCATTTTTCACCGATAGAAAGACAACTAAACAACTCTAAAGATGATACTAATAACTCCATAATATGCCCAAAAATTAACGAGCACCTGATTCCAGCACGCCATGGCACATTTTCTGTCAGTAGAAAATTCTGACTTTTGCCCTGGTGGCGGCCAAAGCCTACTCTTATCAATTTTGGACAACCAAGAGATCTTTAGCATGCGCAACTTGCACACGGGGCCTGCGAGATTTTTCGTCCTTGTCCGAGAAGACAAGGTGTAGATCTTCCCTACCATAAGATCAGGAGTGTGGCTGAAAGACAACAGTAAGGAAGAGCCGGGGAGTAGCACGGGAAAGGCTGCAGAAAGAGCTAGGAGTCCAGAGGAAGGGGCAAAGGAGGTGAGGATGTTGGGACAGAAAGTGGAGGCAAAAGCAGACGACAGAACATTGCCGGAGAGCGGGAAAGGAGGTAAAAAGAGACAATTTTAGATAAGAAAATTGTCCGTACCTTTTCGGATTCGAACCCGGGACCTATTGAATGAGAGGTGGACACCTTAACCTCAAGGCCGCGAGATTCCCCCAAAGCCACTTTCACAGCCATTTAATTAATTACATACACATAAGGACAGCAGTACACATAAGACACGTCGGCACCTGCAAATACACTCTAAGATTTAAACTCAACGTGCTCCAGTAAAGCTTCTTTTTTTTAAAAACAGATACTCCGTATTCTCTTGAGAATGAAACGTACAACATACCCGTGGCCAAGATATTCAGGATGTGTTGAACAAAACAACCCTGGGCAGCCTTTTATACCCTACTCTAGTCAAAATTTGACTAGTGGACACATTACTCGTAATTTCCAGCGTCCGTGGACCATAATAATAATTATTATATACCGCAGCGTTGACCAGTGATATGACATTTGTGAGGCAGCGTGGTGGAATCAGGCTCTCGACAGTATTTGAGCATGTAGAGTTATTGGTATCATCTTAAAGCTTGTTTACTTGTCTTTACTTGGATGGAAAAAATATCCATTTATTTTAAATACAAGTCGAGATATTTGCGAATAAATGAGGTGGGGGTTACCAGTTTTCAGAGATGAAATCAGTGAGAAAATGGCTGCCAAAGATTAATTATTTCCATAGTATAAGAGTCCGAGGAAACTGAAAATTTACAATTTTTGTGTCTTTAATCAACGTTTTTCAGAAAAATTCACGCAGAAATCAGTCCTTAAATGGGTATGAAAGGTGTTGAGCCAAAAAACAAAAATTTGATAAAAATTCCCAAACCTGCGGAAAAATGCAAGTCTCTTCACTTTGATTATTTGGACGAGATTCTGATTCCACCACCCTGCCTCACATTTACTCGAGACAGTACGTAGGCTCTTACCAAGAATGATATACTTCGACGAACAAATCATATTTTTACGGTCAATTCTTGATAGGTTATTATCGCTGCTTTTGTATTATGTGACGGCGTTGTTCATGTGTACATTCGCAGTTAGAACGAGCGAGAAATGTTCCTGAATGAGAATTACGAGTAGGAATATACTGTCAGAATTGGTTACCTCGACCTTTATGCGCGATAACTCTAAAATTCCTTCTTCCGGCATTTTGATAGATGATGGTAAAAATGACCTTCTACATAGATCTTTCTTTCTTACAGATCAGAAGCCTAGGTCTTTTACTTCTGACAAATGTTTTTATTTGAGGGAACAAGGGATGTTTGTTGTCTAAAAAGATGGAATTAATTGTTTTAGGGCAAGCTATTCTGTACAATTCATCAAAGTAGGGGAATGTAGATGTTGCAATTTTACATGCTTTCTATATTAGTCTATTTAATTTTCGTTATTTTGTTGTCTTTTGTTCCCGGCCCATGCTGTTATACAAAAATTGATCATGCTTTCTATGATAGAATACGGACATCAAAGTTTTATGAACTTTAAAATACTTTAGCTTCCTTAGAAAAAAAATAGTCTTTGGTTCACTTTTTTAAAGTAGGAGAGAAGTGTGGACACGCCAGTTGAGTTTGTTGTCTATTGTAACACCCACATACTTATAGTCTGATACTTGCTCGATGTTTTCTCTTTTAATTTCGAGTGGCTGCAGGGACAGTTTCTTTGTTCTAAAATCAACAACAAGTTCTTTTGGGGTTTTTTTCACCTTTAAAAGCAGCTTATGATTTTCACAACTTTCAGAAAAGTTAAGTACATAATTCTTGTAAGCGGTTTCGTTATGGTCAGCCTGAATTAGCCCAATTATGGATGAATCATCTGCAAATTTTATCAACTTTATGTTACTGTTGTTTATTTGGCAATCGCTCGTACATAGTGAAAATAAAAATTGTGACAAAACACATCCTTGAGGGGCCCCTGTATTTGTTGTAATGTATATCGAAGAAAAATGATTTAATTTTACCTACTGTGTTGGGTTGGTAAGAAAACTGCTTATTCATGGTATAAAATTGACGTTACCACCTATGTTTTCAAATTTCTTTAAAAGGATCGCTGGCTGGATAGTATTATAATATAATATAACATAATATAACATAACATA